ATTAAAGGGATATTAAAGGGGCAAATATACTTGTGGATCCTAATGGTGAAGTCAAGCTTGCTGATTTTGGCATGGCTAAACATGTATGTTCCTTAAACTGCCCTATTGATGATAAATTGTAAGCTCTTTTGAATCAGAATTATGTCCACTTTATGCATACATTCCGATGCAGGATGATTTAAGGTTATGGTTTCCTAATGAATATGCAGTATGCTTTCATGTATACGAAAATGGAGGATTAACAATTCACAAACTTTTTATTAATCCAATAAATTATTTTCTATAAGTGAAAACTAATGATTGTAGAGTTCAAGTCTAAACAGTTGAAACTCACCAGTTAATGAATTAAATTTAACAATATGCTTAAATGTATGCAAATATATAAATTACTACTAAAGATTGTGAGCTTGGAGAAGTTTAGGCTCGGTAATGATAAGATTGAGAGTGACCAATCTAAGCATTCCATGCTATTAGAATATAAGCCTGAGAATGGCCACCTCATGTCGTCTATATATATCAACTTGTCGTAATTAATCCATCATATAATTCCATCTATGCAAAAAAGTATTCTTTAACTCACTTTTCACCATTTGTTGCTGTGTTTCTAAGAATGGTTCTGCGTTATTATCAACTAACTTTTATTTTCCATTTTCTTCTGTCCCTGTCTCTTTTGTTTAGATAGCATCTTATACTTCAATACGATCTCTTAAAGGAAGTCCCTACTGGATGGCTCCTGAGGTAGGTATTATATGCCCCTCTTTCATTTGGAGTTAATACTAGTTGTATTTTGTGACTATTTCTAATCGCATTTTCTATAGGTTATCATGAATGGAAGTGGCTACAACCTCTCTGTGGATATTTGGAGCCTTGGTTGCACAGTGCTTGAGATGGCAACATCAAAACCTCCATGGAGCCAGTTTGAAGGGGTGCGTCTTTATTATTATTAAGAAGATTTACATACATTCCAGTCAATTCCTATGTATTGACATATTAAACACTATACTTCAATTTTTACTTGTATA